TGTTTCTTTAAACACTTGCATAAGTGATAAAAATTTGTACTTTTTACATGGATTCAGTGCTTGATAATGAAGGCCCGCATATTCACTGCAATAATCATAAGTCATGATCACTTTAATAATTCTCATGAACTGGGTCTTTAATGACATTGCTACATGTAATCTGATTTTCTATTTCAGTGATTATGTTTTCACCTTACTGTGACTACCCTACGAGCAGAGATTTCTCTCTTGCATGGCTTTTAGCGTTTACGAAGTCATTTGTGTGGCTTGTGTGTCGCATATTTGGTATGTTTATGCCCCGTGAGAAACCTCTGCAACAAGTCGCTTGGGATTTCCGTTGAGCATGCGCCAGATTAATAATTCGTTGCTATAGAGATAATGCCGTAAATTTTGTCACCTAAAAGAAATTAGTGCCGTCAAAAACTAATTTTACTCGCCCCATTTCCTAGCCTGCGAACAGCAGACGTGTTTCCGGGAGAGAAGCGACGACCGGAAATACGTCTGCTCTTCGCAGGCTACCCATTTCCGGACAAGTGGTCTTATTTCGCCTATTTCCGGACAAAGAAACGTGGATGATTTTTAAAATCGCTTTATTCAAACTATTTATCACTGTTTTTTGAAGTATACCGGCATGCGATAGTTTCAGAGGTGCCTCTGATGTACGACATATGTCGACCAAACCGTACATCAGAGGCACCTCTGAAACTATCGCACGTATACTACAACCTTACAATATACGTGTTGCACACTAATGTCAAGGACAAAGACAAACCGGAGGACAGACAGGAAGCAGTATTAAAGATCAAATACGCCACTGCCAGGCTACTTACATTGGTGAAACCGGCAGAAACCCGGCTTAGCACGCAACCTTAGCGACTGACCGAACACAAACGAGCGACGAGAAATGGTGATGTCAACAATTACATCGCTGATCACCATTTACAGACGAAACATCAAAACGACTGGGACTCTGCGACATGTATTAGGTATTCTCAGACTACTATCAACGACCCACTTTAGAAAGCTGGTTTACTAACTGAGAACAAACGTCATTGAAGCGTAGTCAACAGTTGCCGGTACCGTACAAACGACTTTATTGACGAACTCAAGCAAAACTAATTACGAGAGAATGACTGGACAACCGACAATTTGACTAACATAAACGACTGTTTAACTGTGACAATATAGGCGGATGGAAAGTCAACTGTCCAATGACATTACGAGTCTTCATAGCCAATATTAAAATCACTGCTTAACTGAC